CCCATTTTAACTTTTTAACAAAAATGTCAGCATTTTAACTTTTTAAGAAAAATGTCAAAAGCACCATATCCTGACAGAAGAGAATGTGAACGAAATTTCTGCCAGGTTACAATAATTCTCAAGGAAATCTTTGAGGCGTTTCATAGAACAGGCTCACTAGTGAAAAGAAAATAGCAGCAATTCTCCAAGACTTACACCAAAGAGTAAATCAGAACATGTTCCGGAGGTGCTAAGAATACAATCGAGCGGAAGGACATAACTTTCAGCATCTTCTTTAAGGTAAGTTAAGCTTAGCGATAGTTCTCACATGTCAGCACGGGCGTTGAGCCAACACTTCCTTGGGCGAATGAGCCCTCAACTCTCTGGGCGAAGTAGCCCGAATATTCGGCGAACGATAAAATGAACACTCTACATAAATAGCATGCAGAAATGTATGTAACGGTGCTGAAAATCGATTTTGGTATTTTAACAGAAATAGGTCTTGGAGGTCCCTGAAACAGGAAAAGTGTTATTTTGTTTCAAACTTCAGTGTAAGTCCATAACACTAGCGCCTAAACTGTTCTTATTATTTTTTTTCAAAATGAATATTCCACAATCGATCTGGCTCGACTGGAAGCTCTGCAATTTAAAAATATTTCTTTAAATTTTCAGTGCATTTTACAAAGTATAGATATGCATAGGGGACGATTACCTCTGAATTTAAAAAAAATGGAACGAATACTTTACCTGCAATACTGAAGAAAGAAGAAAAGAAAGAAACAGTTTTTTTCTTAAAATGAAATTTGCTCTCTTCAAATAGTTGTTTATTTAATGACATGTAGACTTTTTTGTAAACATTAGTAGTGTTTGCTCAACTTCGAATGAAATATGGGCATTATTAAAAACAAGATTTTCGCAAAAGCTACTCCAATTTTTTCCCTTTTTGTACAAATAGTGCTAAATGCATTGAATAACGTAACTTGAAGGCCATTATGAGGCATTCTTTTGACTTTTCGAAAATGACTAAAATTGAAATACAATTTATCTTGTTAATATTTACATTAGGGGCGTTTTTTAATTCCATTGTTATATTTTATGAGTACAAGTACTTCAAATGATTTTCTATGAAGTTTCGCGAAAACTATCCTTCTGTGAATATTACTTCAAAATTGTACATTCTCAGAAACGCTCAATGACATTTTCTCAAAAATAGATCCAAATATTTCAATAAAAAAATGTATACTGGGCCGTACTTTAATTTATAGCTAGAGTCACCTTTTAATTCTACAATTACAGGACCAGAAATTGAGAAAATGTGGAAAAAAAGGATTTTAGAGGCCAATAAATGGCAGCTGGGACGAGGATGGTTCAAAATCGAAAAGCTAGCCCAGACGCAAGACAATAGAAAAGAAACTAACTTGTACGTGATAGTCTGTGCCAATCGAGGTTCTACTAGTTTTCAAATGTTCTTTATTTTAAAACAATCGTAATTAAAAGTCTGCAACGAAAACATAAAAAGTCGTCGTGCACTATATAAGGAGTCTCCATCAAGAAATTTACAAAATCATTTGTGAAACGTAAGACCCGATTTAGACGTCCCAGAAGCCACACTATGCACGTGCGCGTTTGCTAAAAATCCGGAATCCTTCGTCAAAAGGCTCCAAAGGGCTTGGAGATGTTAAGTAGTAATGTACTGAATTATACGATAGAGATTCAAGCAAAAGAAGGAAAAGGAGAAAGAGAGCAAGGGACCTCTGGAAGGCAAGCGAGCGGCCTGTCAATACGGCCCCAAAGCCCCGCCGCCATATTATACACCATACAGCGCCATCTACATACTTATCCGCGTCATCTCCACGCTGGCCCGTCCCCAGCCGCTCGCTCCCTCGAATAGACAGCCTTTTTATTATTTTTCTTTCTCGGCCCCCTATCTTATTTTCCGCTGCGCTCCATTTGAATTTTAGACGTTTTTCCCTCGCCCCCTTCGGATCCCTCTAACGTCAATATGATATTAACTATTCGTCTTCCTGCAGCGTGGCCGTTATTTAATGGATAGGTTTGGCAGCTGAGAGCGTCGGTCGTTGGCGGCGTCATCGTCGCTGGAAGTGTCGTTTGGGTGCGTTCTGGATATAAGAAAACGTTCGTTTTTTTTTCGATTAAATGTTTTCACTCTGGAGAGATGAATGACTGTATCTTTGCTTCTAGAATTTTAAATCATTGTCGTATTTGCGATTTTCTATAAATGGCGTACAATTCAAAAAACTGTGTTTTAGAATTTTGATATATGTTTGGCACACATACTGGAAACCAGGTAATTAACACATTTTGTCACCACTGTCATTTTTATTTACTGCGCAACACCAGGTGTGACGAAATTCAATCGAACAGAATAAAATACTTGTATTTGTTCCGGTTAAATATTAATAGATTATTAGCATGTACTACTTCATCGACGAATTATGTCATTTCTGAATCAAATTCTCAATATTGAGATCAAAATCAAAGAATATGGCATTTTTCATTATGCATTATGCAAAAATTACTTCGACAATAAACAACGCATTGGCGTTGAGTATCTTCTGTATGTTTTACTTTATTTATCATAATTCAAACTCGTTAGGATGTCTAACTGATAACCGCCCTTGAACCGCGAAATGTTCAAACTATGCAACAGAGAAGCGTTTGAACTAAATGGCTCATTCCCTCGCTTATACCTTGATACATCACATTCATTACTGTAATATTTCTCCCTCAGGAGATCTAAATATGCTGCTCTGCTGCCCAGGATCTCTTCCCAGACTCTCCTTTTCAGCCTCTTCCTTCCCCCCCTCTCTCTCTCTCTCCCTGTCTCATCGTCCCTTCAGCTACCCCCAGAGGAAAGTAATACACGCATTTTACGACCAGTATCCGCGGCCGTAAAATTTACGACAACATTAAGTTACATTCGTATGCAGGGACACATTTTTGAAAAGTAACTAAAGTTTCTTTTTAACGCAAGTTGGCGGCCTTGCTCAGGGCACGCGCGGCGCGCGCTGTCAGGTGGCCGCCAGGTGGAGACAGGTGCGAGCCCACGGCGCATGCAAAGCAGCCCCGAGAATCAGAGGCCTGGATGCGCGGCTTCGGCAGATCGGAAGACGACCTCCCCAGACGATGCGGTGAAGATACGACGCAAAGAATGGAAGGGTAATCATGGTTTCTTACGTGTTGTGAATATTTCCCTTTCCACCTTTCTCTGATGAAGTACAAAGAAGTGTGCTACACCTCCAGGGGAAAAAAACGACGCTACTTAAATTGTCGAAGTGAATGGTGAATGAAAGCTTTTTATTTGAAATTTGCACAATTTGCTGGCACCCCATTTTACACAATTCAATTCCTTTTGATATTTTTCTTTTAATTTCTCTTTCTGAACAAATATATTATTTTCTATTGAAAATAATAAACAATTTACATGTTCTGGATTGTTATGTTTCTGAAATGAAAATTTTAGCATAAAACGTATAACGAGTTTATTAGACAAAATATGCTTCAAATTGTCTTGAGAGCTTATTTTCGAAGTTTCGTTGTTTACTCTGTGGACCCCTTGCACACCTAGCTTTTTCTCGAAAATTGACTATTTTTTCCCTCAGCATTACACTACTTCCTTTATAGTGCTTAAGCAGTAGCGAGAATGCATCAAATAAATAACAACTTTGTTAAAACATATATTATCCTGAAATTGCATACATACTCACATGTTGGGCTCAGACCACATTAGCGGCTATATTGGGAATGTGATAACTAGAAACAGGATTTACATGCAAATTAATGTTTTTATTTACGCTTCCTAGAGTTTTCAAACTATGAAATAATATTTTTCATGGCGTGCTCCTTTTAAAAATGCAAATTTTTCCGTGCATATTTGCATGTTTTGGTAGGTTTGAGAAGAAATTCATGCATAATGCATGTCTGGACATTTTTCAATTAATACTGCATACTTTTACATCTATGTAGAATATTAGACACTCTTTAGATCTATTTTTCATAATTTCGGATAATTAAAATTTACGCATTTTTTGTATAAATAGCATATTATTCTTAGACCCTGACACTACAAAGTTGCTTTTGCTTTTTGTTTGCTAGAAATTACACGGTACACGTGGTATAATTTGCGAAGCGGGTATATGCTCTGTCAGCCACAATCACGAATGAATCAATACCAAGCTATTAAGTAACAAAAGATAATGAAAATACAGGAAGCCGTAACTCGATATCACTTGATAACTGACAGTGGGAGAGAAAATAACCAAGGGCAGATTCAGTCTAGCTTACTTGCAAAAAATAAAAAACCATGATATGAACAAATTCACATAATATATAAAATGAAATTTTGTAAGTTTGTAGCAATTCAAAAATTAGAAGAAGCTGATTGACCTCTCGTGGAGTCATTTCAATTTGTTAAAGACAGTAAAATGTCTTTGGAATTAGTGTTTGGAGTTGTGTGTGTCGCTGCTAAGGAGAATTTACATAAGTGTTCATTTCAAATTCTAACTTGAAAAAATGTAAAAAAAACTTTATTTGTAGGGAAAAATCAGAAATAGCAATATTTGACCTTGCATTGGCTCAACTTCCATCTTTGAAGTATGCTCCAATTACGTCTTGTGTTGTCGAATACATTCTATGCATTTAAAAAAGATTGTTTCTGACAAAACGAGAAATTATACAGAGTAAAATAGAGAAAAATATAAATTGTTACAAAAGGCAATAAAACAGGAAGTATAATAAACTCAAATTTAATTGTTTATGTTTTGACATTTTTTGTTTTTCATTATGCATGTTCGGCTATTTGATATTGCATGATTGCGTGCATATTTTAACATTTGTTAGTGCATGGAAATCCTGTCTCTAGTGGTCACGCTTTTATAGAATGTCGTTGAAAACCATGCACAAGTGGAAAATATGATATATATCCATGAAACAATTAAAATATAGATAACCACTTAGTTTTAAAAAAAACTAGTTAACATAAAATGTGAATATATTACAAAACAAAGTGGAAACTTAGATACTAAATTGGAACTTTGTAGTACATGTAGGTCCATTGATAAAATACTACTTTAGGTAGTAGATGTAAGTCCGAAGGGACAACATGTCAAAGAATAATATAATTTATCTATAATTTGTGATGAAAACAAGAACTCTCTATACATATCTATACTTAACGAATAAATAGATCTGATTAGGGCCGTGGGCAAAAAATTGGTGTACAGACTAAGAAGATGTGTGAATAATATAATCCATTAAATACCATTACCAATACTTAAATACCGAAGATAGTACTTGAGTTATTGTCATAATGCTTTAATAAGTATATCGTCTCAAATGTTGATTTTTATAGTGTATTTCCTTACATCCAAAATGGGTATTTTTAAACTCTATCATGTGTTTGCCGTCTGTCCTACGTTTTGTAACGGACGTGTGAATGTTGAGATTCTTTTTAAAGAGAAAACTGGACTATGTATGAATATACTAGAGACATAAAGAACATGTTAAAAAGTCTTTTGGAGGAGGAGAAAATAGGGTATGATTCCTTGAAAGGTTGAAAATAGACTGTCTTTGTGAATATGTTTCTATACCAATCCTTTTTAAGGCGAGGAGTCCCAAATAAATTTAGAGACAGACAAATTTTGCATACCGTTTCTTTATTTTGAAATACCGAATAACCTGTTATGTGAAACCCGAATAATAAAGAAAAGTTATGTTACAAATATCTATAAATTAGTTTGGGACTCCTCACCTTCAAAAGAATTGGTTTAGAGTATGATCCCCCATCACGCCTTGGGTCGAACCCGTCCTTGGTAAGGCCGCCCTGTGAACTGATACGCTTGGCAGATGTAGTGAATGGCCTATCTCTCATCTTATCAGTCGCTGCTATCGTCACAGTCTTCGTCGTCTTGATGAGAGGAGTTTCCGTGTTACGTAATAATTCCATCTATTTTTATATCTATAATATTATCTGGTTTTGCAGAACGTTTTACGATACTTTGTTATCAGTATGAGTGGGCATTTTTTGTCTAATTACTACGATATTTTCAGGTATCAACTATATTTTTTTCTTCTTTCTAATTCCCTGTTGGAGTGTAAAATGTAAGAATGTCTTTAGCAGAACATTGTTTTGTTTCAGGAATATTTGTTTTTTACGTGAAGTCGGACCAGTATCATCACTTGTCTTAACATAAACTTATTTTTAAGGTTATTAAAATATTTAGAAACTCTCTAAACTATTTCTCGCGCCTGTCTTCTTATCTGTAGGGCCTGTCGAACTCTGTACTTCCGGTAGAAGTCCCAATACACACTAATCACTGTGTACTTCAAAATAAAGTTGATTAGTACTTCTATTTACTGCGAAAACACAGTTAACAATTAGGTTTACTACACAGGAAAACATATTAATACTCAATAAGCATTATGAAAACTCTAGAAGTCGCAGAAATACTGACCCAGAAAACTCAACAGCTGGAGTGAATTTGGGGAGATTAATGATCTTTTACTGAATGTTTAATTTATCATTAGATGTCAAATAACGGATAGGGAGCATTTGTTGTTTGTTATTTTCTGCCCCTCGAAATGGTCTCTGAGGTTCAACTGTTACGATGTCCTGTCACCCAAGCACACACGCACACACGCTCAGGCACGAGGGGAATCAAGAAGCGCAGTGTAGAAGAAATCTCTATCCTCGCTGAAACCCAGTGGTTTCTTTTGTCCCCTTCACAGTAACCCTGTGAAGAAGGGGAATTTATTCTCGTTAAATCTTTGACATTGTACTGCTGCCTTGCGGCTTAAGCAGCTAGAGGTGGGGCTTTTTCTTACAGCTAATTTTACATTCTAGACCTAAAGTTAACTTACTTACATTTTGGCATTACTAACTTACACTAAGATTAGTTTTGTTATTAAATCCATTGGTGGATAAGCCAATAGGAAGTACTAGGCAATTACCTAGAGTCCCCGAAGGAATGCTTCTTTAATTATTTAAACAAGCTAGTTAATACTTTGTAACAATTTATTCATTTTCAAGACATATTGAGCTCGTCAATGCCACTATCAAAGTCAATGATGGCATATAACGAAAACGAATAGCGAGTACATTTTAAATCGCGAAAACTCTATATTTTTTGTTATTGATCACAATGTCATTATATTTGTTAAGTTTTCGGCACTTCAAAAATATATTTTAAAAAATATTGCATAAAACATTTTACTTTCTCGCACTTATTCGTAAGAAGAGAAAGTATTGTAATCGTGCGCCGGAAAATCGCGACTTTTCGGCACAAAAACTCTAATAGCCGGGATCTGGTAACGAAAAAGGGGATAAATCCAGTTACTCAATATAGAGAAAAAAATTCTCTCACACGTGATGTAGCCAGAATCCATGATTTGTGTATTCTTGATACCGAAACGTCGATTGACGACAAAACGTCTGTCTGTCCTTGTGCCCGTCTGTGAGTTGTTCTGTGCATAACTCTAGTGCATAAACCGTTCAGCCAATTTTCTCCACAATTGATATTTCCTAATCGTTCTGGCTGATGTTTCGGCCCCTGGAATTTAAAACAAATATTTTAATTTTTATGGTTCTTTACTTGAAAACCCTCGAACATTTTCAAAAATGGCTCCATATATACGAAACATGGGTAAGAAATATGTGGTATTAAGTAAAATATGGAAAATTAGATAATTATTTTAAAATTTCCGAAACGAAAATGGTTTTAATTCAAGCACAATGTTTTGTAAAGTCAAAAAATATTATTGACTACAGGAATCTCTTTAGTGTAAAACTACTTATTTACCGGCAACAAGTTATTAAAAATAGCGGTTGTAAATATTCAAATTGTGACATACTACACCGTGATTTATAAGTGGCAGAAACATGAATTTGAATGCCCGCGTGATGAGCTGTGAACGACGGCGCCATCTCGTTTTCTTGGCGTTTCAAAGAAACAAATGAACGACGATAGAAGGTGGTGCACGAGAGAACGCTTTCATTCCGCTTTCCAAAGCGGCCAAGTACGGAGCTCACTGCTGCTGCAGTTTGGAACGCTTGCTCCAGATTCAGCAACCAAATGTTGGACCGTGTGAGCTGCCCACGAGGTAGCAGCCTTGGCGGTTCGGAACGTGAGTGACGAACTGAATATTAACGGATAAAAATAAAATACATAACGATAAATAACTTATTGCAATTTACCTATACCACGTTTGTACGTCAAATTCGAATTTAGTGTTTTTGTGAGGGAGTGTAGGGGAAAAATGTGAACTTTAATTTGCATAGGAGAGTCCAATGTCTGTGCGACTAGCGCAGTCATGTATAGAATGTTTCTAATGGCTTAACTGAGGTTAAATCATCGTTATTGAATGAAGTGAAGTAAGGAAATGTTTAGACACACAACTTTATAGACACGCTGTCCTGCCTCGTTCCTTGAATGGCCATTCAATAATTACTTACTTTGACTCTTAATTTGGTAGTGAATTTTCATGGTTATTTATTTATTGTGTAATGTATTGTTATTGTCTTTTGTATTCATCAAATGACATTCACCTTTAATGGATTTTCATGGGTATTTATTTACTGTGTAATATATTGCTATAATTTGCTGTGTTTAAAGACAACAAGTAAGTTGATTTGCATACTATAGTTTCTTGTGTTTATTTTTGGCTCTGAAGTTATATTCGCTGAATATTCCAGATCCTAATCGTTCTACTGTAAGGTGCAATAATTCCTAAATCACACTTACGTAGAAGACCAGAATTACAGAGCTAGCTATACTCGATAAACATGAGCGTACATCTGTACTGATCAGGTGACTGTGACCAACATTCGCAGTCGAGGTCGGCAGGTCTCAAAGCAAAGATGATTCATATTTCATATTTGTAAACAAGTGATTTGTTATAATTTTGGATTTATTTTAAAAGTGAGATTCTTTGTCTGGAATGTAGTTTTTTTTCTGTGTATGCTTTTCTTTCAGTACTTTCTTTTATTATGCTTTAGTATTCATAGAAACTTTGATCATTAATGTTGACGGGGTAAATAATTGTAAATCACTCGGGTATTTTAATGAGAATGAATATGCTTACCAAAAGACGGTACAAGACGGTTCTTTATATACCTAATCGAAAAGACGAATCATTTGACCTTGCTCAATTTGTTTATAACATGAGATTGTGGTTCTTGCCTGGCTTTAGACGTTTGTTTGGACAGCAGGAGTAAAGCATTGATTTATGCTCGAGCCATCGATACAAGGAAATTCTTGTAAAATCAAGTGAGATGGGAGTAGGGCTGGCTGGAACCTCCGATGAACTGTAACATTGAAGTGTAGGACGTTGAACGGATTTGTGTTCAGATTGACCAAGGAAAAGCGTTCCGCGCTCAATGTCAACTGCCACGTGAAGAAAGAAGGTATTCTCGTCGTAGATAGCTAAAGCCGGATACCGTGAAAGCCCACGATGCTATGTAATGCCGGACAGTTAATAAACTTTGTTGACCAGGTGTTATTTGAAATTTTATAGCAAAGGAAATTGTTTAAATGTTGCGGACTACAGCAATTTCTTATTTGCTCTATTTTAGATTTCATTTTGAAAACAGAGTCAGTTGTATGATTATTTTAAGAATAGATTTCAATATTTATGTACGGTTTTGTTCCTTTATTGGAATTGAAAAGTAGCTAAGTCTTGATATTTAAGTGTTTCAGTGAGCACGCAGAGCTTTAACAATGTGTAAAAATCACGGTTGGTGTTTTCATTTATATCTCTTTGTATATAGAACGATAGATGCTTTAAGATATAACATTTTTTAAAGGGAAGTGTATTTATATCTCATTTTGTTGCATGTTTTACATTTGTTTCAATATTTCTGTTGAATGTGTGTTACTGAACTTGCAAAGTGTATGTATACACTGTAGCTGTATCCTATAGCTGGACGTTTATAGAAAGTATTGTGAAATCTTTAGAAGAAAAAACGATTTTTTTATCCTTCCAATCAAAAGACGAATCCTGGCTCTGGTCACTCTAAAAATATATATATTGTTTCTTATAAGGTGAAATTCACCATTGAGGGATGGCACATTTCGAGCACTATTAATGCAAGAGGAACTAGGGAATTTTTATCAGGTGAAGGAGGTGATAGTAGTGTCGCAAGAATTAAAACATAAAGAATAATAGGTAATTTTAACATTATAATGTATTGGGAAAATGTGTTATACATTAAATTTTAATAATTATGTAATGTGTAATTGTAATAGTTCTAAAATTTAATGTGCAATATAACATGCGTTAATATATAGCGTGATTCCTTATGCCATTGTTCGATTGTTCGAATCAAAGTAAAATAAAATAATAAGAAAAAAAGATTTACCAAGCATTTTCTGACCGTAACAGTCTCTTCCAATGTCATTTAATTACCCATCCGCCAATGGGGCCCGGATCAACGACGCGAATTCGAATATAAGTGAAAATACATTTTATAAATTTAAGAAGTAATTGGACACGTAGCCCTTCATATGGCTCATGAACGGGTGCTCTGGGTGAACTGGGCTTTTTTGTGAGACGGTCCCGGTTTCGATTCCCAGCAAAAACAAAAATGCAGATGTGGCTTTCGAATACAAATCGCCTCAATTTCTATAGCTGTAGATGAAAGAAATATCTCAGGTAGGCCAAATGTGTTAGATACGGTATAGGGAATACGTCATGGCCACATGTCTTCCTTATCTTCAGGATAATAAATAAAAAATAACGCTCAGGCTTCGGAATAACGCTAAATGGTAGAGATTGGAATATTTAGAAATGCCAAATACATACATACACACAAAAACGTATTTACCAATAAATTATAACCATTTTTTAGTTTATGTTAGTATGTTCAGTTTTAGAGATATTTCAAGGGCATGGATACTTTGAACATTTTCTGTTCTTGTGATCCTTTTCTCGAGGATAAAGTTTGCCACACCGTCTTTGGAAGAATTGGTTCAATATTAATTATGCTGCTTCAATTGGACAACTTCTCTACATTGAGAAACTGAAATAAGAATTTAAGTGATTATGGGGAGGCCTGGCAGTAACTGATATGTTCACGAAAATATTGTATATATCGACGGTTTCGAATTACTATTGTACGATACGATACGATACGATACGATAACCGTTGGAACACGAACCTTTAACTTAAGATTAAGAAATGTTACTATAATTAATTAAAGGTTAAAGCGCTGAAACAGAAAACCTTGCACATACAAATTTAGAGAATAAAATCTTCGCTTGGGGCCATCGTTGACCTCTTATAGGTATGCGACAGTTAATAACGGCCAAATTAAAATAAAGTGAACCTATTAATCGCCTCCCATTCTGTTAATACTTGCTTACGTGCATTTCCATCAGGAGTCCAGTTAAAATTGGATGTCGTCCGCTATGAGCTACCCGGCCCACTTCGGTCGGGTATACGACGCCTATAAAAAGGCCGCCGGGCGCGCAGGCAAAATCGGTGATAATGAACTTGATGAAGATCGTAAACGTGGAGGCTCAGCAGGGGGGGGGGGCGCGCTCTGGGCACACGCATGTTTCGGAGGGGAGAGTCGCACCCTGGATCCGAAGACGTTGATTGGTTGAGGGCGTTGGCTCCGCCGCCGGAGTCGGTAGTTACTTGGCTATCCGGGAGACTCCGCGTCGTATACTTCGATTTAAACGTAGTGGCACTTCAAGGTCATGAGCTGGAAGGTGAGAGAGACGTTAACATCCAATCGGGAACTTAATTTTTTGGAATTCAGCTTCCGATTGAATGACATAGTCCCCCCCTCTCCGTCCAGCTCGTGACCCTGAAGTGCCACTATGTTTAAACAAAAGTATGTGCCAACGTTTCGGCAGTCCAGGTTGCAGGTCCAAACGTTTTCTTTAATTCTTTTGTCATGTGTATCAAGGGACGATAAGAATGGTTCTAATCTCCTTTCCGGCGCACTTTGTATTTTTGGAAACTGCCAACATTTAGCATTTCAGTAAGCAAAGATGAAGATAAAGATTTTTTTGCTAGAAATAAGATCAGTTCTAAAAAATTAGCTATTTAAAAAATTTATCTACAATTTTTAGACATAAAGAGTTCATTGTGCGTATTTATACTTCAAATTAACAAAATATTGTAGAAAACACATTTTCTTAAGAAAACCCACACATTTTCTTTAAAAAAAACACACCAAATGTTTTCCTCAATTTTTTCACAGATGCATCAAGGAATGCTTAAAAGAATGGCTAAGTCTCACTTCCATTGAACCTTGAATTTTCGAGAAATGCAAATTTTAAAAATAATGCGAGAGAGTATATGCAGTTTTAGCACCATTATTGTAATGCAGATTAAATTCTGTGACTGTCAGTTTGAACAAAGACACGGTGAGGAGAGAGAGAGAGAGAGAGAGTAGGCAGAAAGAGAGAGTGGGCAGAATAAGAGAGAGTGGGCAGAAAGAGAGAGTAGGCAGAAAGAGAGAGTGGGCAGAAAGAGAGTGGAGAGTGGAAGTTGGCAGGGAGAGTGGAAGTTGGCAGGGAGAGTGGAAGTTGGCAGGGAGAGTGGACGTTGGCAGGGAGAGTGGAAGAGAAATTTGGGAGAGACGTAACGTAAATGATGAACAGAGTACGCAGCGTGGCCAGGGTTAGGGAAGTGAGCGTGGTGCCATTTCGGCGGAGGCTACTTTACGATTAGCAGGGGGAAGGCATTACCGGGCTTAGGTTTCGCGCTTTACGAATGCGGGAGGGAGGGACTGCGATGGAAGTGGAGCAGGAGAGGGGATTAGGGAATTGTTCGATGTTTTGACGGGCTGAGCAAAAAGCTGGAGGTGAGCGTCAGCGGGAAGGTTGGTGTGACAATGTGAAAGGAACATTTTGGCCAATTGACGAAAAAGGGAGGGAATGGCAGCAAAACCTAGATATTCACGAAAAACAAATCAGAAAATTTAAATATGGTTCGTAACTCAAATAGTCTCCCGAGAGTTGTGTATTTAACATTCAATTATTATGTCAAAACCATTTATATCCGTAAATCCCTGACCCGCGCAGGGCAACTCGTCATGAATAGCGTCACTCACGACGCCGCCCGAATACACACAACGCCTGGCCCTCCACGGGTCGGCCATTCCACACGACCG